TGCCATTATTCCGGTGAGCTAGCCTTGCCCCAAGTCTGTACTATATGATAGGTCCATAGGTGGGTAGTAGTTCTATCCTTATAATAGGGAGGTTAGATAAGCGGCCAGTCTGTTATAGGGACGACTTGTCCTTATTATTTATATGATCTAGAAGTTATGATTTATACTAGTAGTTTTAGAGACTTGTGTAAGTCTACCCGTGTGCCTCAACTCTGACATTTGAGGCGACTCATGTGTATGCTGGGTCACATGGCTGGGAGACGGTAAAGAGCAACAAAGACATCCAACCTATAATATTTTAAATTAAAACATGTTTGTGTGGGCTGCCTAAATTTGTGAAGCTCCAAAGAAAACCAATTTAACTAGGTGTCACTTTATATTGTTGGTTTATTGTCCCACTGAGATATTTTCTATCTGTATGATGGCAGGCTGTAAGTAATAGTCTGAACCAGACAATCCAGTGATTGATATGAATAATTTTGTGTTTGAAAATATGGGGAGTGCAGCATTCAGGAGGTTTGCTGTTAATGTATTTGGATCCAAGGTCTCACTAAATATTTATTTTTTATCCTTTTATCCTTGTGATAAGAGTCATTTGTTTGTATGTATGTATCAATGGTTTTACCTTGACTCACAAAGTGGTGGTCCATGGGACCCCCAGTAATAAATTCTAAGGGCCCTGTAAAGTAATGAAGTGGTGCAGTGTACTGTACGTTTAGATAATTACCATATTTGACGTAATAAGCGCCCAGGGCGCTCTCAAAATTAAATATTTGGGGCTCTTATTAGAATAGAGTTGAAAGATAAATTTCGTGGTTTATGCTGACAGGCTGAAATGTTTATGTACGACAGATATATTTTTCCAGAATTTAATTGCTCATAAGTAAGGGTGCATATAACACACAAGTGCGTATTATACACGAATAAATAAGTCTTGAGTACATTGATCAATCGGAAGGGGTGCAAATTGGGATTGTTCACTAGCCAATATATTAACAAATATCGCCGTGGGCGCTTATAAGAGCGGGGGGCTTATTACGTCGATATACGGTACTTTAGAGCCTGGATTGAATCAGTGATCATGTGGTCTGTGGTCCTGACTGATGGATGAAACAACAGACGCCCATAACTGCTCTTGATGCACTGTAGATGCAATGAATATTAGCGTGTCTCTCTTGGTGCAGTATATATTTTTCCTGCGTCCATTCTATACATTAATGCGTACTGGATAAACCCTGATACATCGCTGATGTACATATCTTGTGTTTAGTATTCAGCTCGGGACAGGCCTGGATCATGCCCTCTGATTTTCCCGTGTGATCCTGAAGTTCATGAATCGTGTCATTCTGTACGGCAAGACATTAATGGACTTTATCCACTTTCTGGCGTGACAGTCTGTGGTCTTTTAGTGGTGTTGAATTGCCAGTACTTTGGGCTGCTTCTTCACAAGCGAATAACACCACGGCCAGTTGAACTCACAGCTTGGCTATGCCTGTTGTAACTTGACATGGATGTATGATGGTCTATGCTGCTGACATTGTGCAAGGCTAGGGTCAAAGTTCAAGTTGTCTGCAACATTAAACAAACCTCCTTCAGTTAGTGCCATAAAACAACATTCACTCACCTCGTGTCAGAGGAGGTAACCACGGTAACTAATGTTGCCACTAAAGTTTGCAACTGTGAAGACGTCCCAAGGACCCCGCAAATCAGGCTGGTGGGGGCGGCAGGGACACACTCACTTCACATTCATTGTGATTATGAACACTTGTTATGACAGTAAAGTTTGATAACCATACAAGATAGGGCTGGGATAAGTCCTGTTTTACTACCCCGTTACTCGGCCCTACCCGAGCACCCGCTGTAGGTCTCAAGAGCTGGGTCCAACATGTCTTGATTGGGCATTGTTGTACCGGAGCCCTGGCAAAAACTATTTAGATACACATATAAAACAATCTGAAGTACACTGAAGCTTTAATTTTGCCCATAGTCGGAAAGAAATGGCGAACATCAGCAGCTTGTTGTGTACCATTGATGTATATTGTTATTGCCATCAAACACTGTCACGTGACTAACCAAGGGTCTGGGTCTGGGTAGTCCTGTGGGTACCTGGGTCCTACTCGGGACCCTAAGCATTATAAATATGAAGGAGAGATCTGCCACTTGTCCGTTAGTCCGAGTTTAGTGAATAGCTAGAGAGACTTGTTGTTTTCCCTCCAAATCTTGTTATTTTGCTTGAGCGACTAGTCTGAAATAAACTGAACTAGTGGGTTAATACGGTCTCTGCCCCCGAACATACAGTGTATCGTGATAAGATAAACAATATTATTTTTTATTATTCTATTAATATGTAATAAATATGTAATAAATATACAATATTGAAATATTATGAATGGATCATGAAGCCTGGACTCAAATAGTATTTCATAAACAGTTAGATTTGTATGATGATTATAATGATATGGATGATAGTTAGATACTACGCTTAACCATGTTACCATGGTTACCCATTCTGCCTTTTGATAAATTCAGTGGGAGCTCCCGCCTTGGGCCTGTGTAGTGAGTGCCAGCATGATTGTTAACCTTTCACCTTTCACCTTGACCTGTGGTAGCCCACAGCTGGGGGTTGCATAAGTTCTCCCTGGTATTTATCTCTTGTAAAGGGGACAGCATAACTGGCTGTCCATTCCAGTTTCATTGTCCTTGTGCTGACATGTGTTTAGCAAGTACAGGCGTGATATAGGAGAATGCGACCAGCAGTCCTGTCCCAAGGCTTGTGAAGTGTGACGGAAGGCTCATATTTCTGTCTTAAGAAATAAATTTTAACAATATCACGTTTATGTGATGACCCTATTCATCTTCTGGCAAACAATTAATTGCTCACTTTGTACGTGTTGCTGTTTCCAGTGTAGTATTGCCACTCTACCATGTCTACACTTGCATTTACATGGTTCAGTGTGTTGATTTCCACCAAATAAGGGTCTACCACTAAGCTGCTTAGCTGGACTGTTTGCCCTCAAGACCCGTGAAGATCCGGGGTAGAATTGGTCTCCAGCAACCCATGCTTGCCGTTAAAGTCAACTATGCCTCTTGTAAGAGGTGACTACAGGATCGGGTGGTCAGGCTCGCTGCATGTCATCGTATCCCAATTGCGTGGATCGATGGTTATGATGTCAATCACTGGATTGTCTGGTCCAGACTCGATTATTTACACACCGCCGTCATATAGCTGTAACATTGCTTAGTGTGGTGTTAAAAAAAAGGACCTGCAGTGTTAGAATAGATCCCGTCAACCTTTCCTTATCACGAGAGACAATTCAATTTGACCCCATGGTGATTCTAGGACATAACGTGAAATAGGTCACCAGCAAGGTAATCTGGTCCTACGAGTCGGCGACTGCCTTGGTGGTTGATGGCATGTTATTGTAGTCCCTCGCGGTGTGGATCACTGTTCTCAATATCAATCACTGGATTTTCTAGTCCAGACTAGATTATTTGCTGGTCACAATATAGCTAAAATATTGCTGATTGTGGCACAAAAACAAGTCAATTTAAACCTGTAAACCTCGGTCACTTGGTTAATTTCCTCACTTGATTGCATTGTATGATATCGATCACTGGTCTGTCTGGTCCTTGCTTCATAGTGTATTGACAGCTGTCATATGGATGTGATATAGTTTACATCAGGGAAAACAAAACAGGGAACTTTATCCCAATGCCAGTATGGCATTTAGTGGTGTAACAATACGGCGATTAGTGGTGGAACGATACGGCATTTAGTGGTGTAACAATACGGCGATTAGTGGTGGAACGATACAGCATTTAGTGGTGTAACAATACGGCGATTAGTGGTGGAACGATACGGCATTTAGTGGTGTAACAATACGGCGATTAGTGGTGGAATGATACGGCATTTAGTGGTGTAACAATACGGCAATTAGTGGTGGAACAATACGGCATTTAGTGGTGTAACAATACGGCGATTAGTGGTGGAACGATACGGCATTTAGTGGTGTAACAATACGGCGATTAGTGGTGGAACGATACGGCATTTAGTGGTGTAACAATACGGCGATTAGTGGTGGAACAATACGGCATTTAGTGGTGTAACAATACGGCGATTAGTGGTGGAACAATACGGCGATTAGTGGTGGAACGATACAGCGATTAGTGGTGGAACAATACGGCATTTAGTGGTGTAACAATACGGCGATTAGTGGTGGAACGATACGGCGATTAGTGGTGGAACGATATGGCATTTAGTGGTGTAACAATACGGCGATTAGTGGTGGAACAATACGGCAATTAGTGGTGGAACAATACGGCGATGATTAGTGGTGGAACAATACGGCGATTAGTGGTGGAACAATACGGCGATTAGTGGTGGAACGATGCATCAGTGGATCGCGATATTTTACTTCTGATACAAATATTAATCATTATCGGCATTACTTCCCGATACAAATATCAATCACAGTCACACACTGAGTAATAAAATAGATTCATACCTTAAATGTTTACTTTAATGGCTGTTACACCAAACACTAATAAGTAGTGAAAATTAGTAGTGAAAAAGTAAATATTTTCTTGCATTGAGCCATACTTCCTAACTTGACTCTGCCGACTGTAAACTGTCAGTGTGCGAGGTCCTTAGATGGGTGACCGCGTTTCAGCGACTTGACTTCTGAGAGTTTCTAGGGCTTCAGTTCTGCCCCACATTGAAGCACATGTAACACATGTGGCATCACCTTGGGCAAGTGACTCTGTTCGAAATGTGCCTCTGTTCACCCAGCAGTGAATGGGTACCCGGTAGGATGAGATGGCAATGTGGTTGTTAACCTTCTAGTGCCTAACATATTGTTTGGGTTGTATAATCCCCAGGGAGCTGAGAATGATTCTTGTGCCCCGAGTGGTGTGGAAATATGCGCTATATAAATGGCCTTTTGTTGTTGTTGTTGTTGTTGTTGTTGTTGTTGTTGTTATCCTTGTCTCTCATTCTGCAGTTCCTGTTGTGACGAATGGGGTTGCGGACACAGCTTCGGAGAAGAGCTCCTCGGGGTCTAGCACACCCACCAGCTCCAAGGATGGAGAGAAGACTGAAGAAAACGAGAAAGAAAAGACAAATGGAGAAGTGAAGGAAGGAGAGATCAAAGAAGGAGAAACAAAAAATGATCAAGAAATCGTTCTAATTCAGGATACCGGCTTTACTGTGAGCATTACGGGACCGGGCGTTGAGTCATTCGAGTTGCCGGTAAGTAGAACACTGTCTACTGTACTATAGCAGAGATTATACTAGACCTGCTCAGAGGACAAAGTTTGACCCCAGGTCAGCAGGAAATGTCAATTCTTATTGAATTGAGAAATTAACATTCTCAACTTGGAATAAAAGTATTCCTGGTTCATCTTGTTCATGTTAGTTATAACTAATGTTAAAGCCTGGTTGACATGACTCGTATTTCCCTGATAGCAGGACCAGTGATTCAAGCACCTGTCTTCCTTCCAATGAACATTTTCTTTAATTGTATGTTTGTGTAACTGTTACTTTCATGACTGGTTCAATGTCGTTTGTTCTCCTGGTTTTATACAGTCACTGAATCACATTTCATGTTTTGTGTAAGGCAGTAAGGGCACACAAGCGGGAATAGCCATCAGGCTGGGTTATTACTAGGGCTGGTTATTACTAGGGCTGGGTTATTACTAGGGCTGGTTATTACTAGGGCTGGGTGGGTTGGTTGGTTTGTTTGTTGTTTAACGCCGTCAGCGAGCCTGACCACCAGATCTCGTTAGTCGCCTTTTACGACAAGCATAGTCACCTTTTACGGCAAGCATGGGTTGCTGAAGACCAATTCGACCCCGGAATCTTCACGGGTCACTAGGGCTGGGACCATACACAAACTGTGCGACCCAATAGGTATAGCGATCCCTTACTTACGATCCGATACGTATCACAATACTTGCATGTGCGACCCAATAGGTATAGCGATCCCTTACTTACGATCCGATACGTATCACAATACTTGCATGTGCGACCCAATAGGTATAGCGATCCCTTACTTACGATCCGATACGTATCACAATACTTGCATGTGCGACCCAATAGGTATAGCGATCCCTTACTTACGATCCGATACGTATCACAATACTTGCATGTGCGACCCAATAGGTATAGCGATCCCTTACTTACGATCCGATACGTATCACAATACTTGCATGTGCGACCCAATAGGTATAGCGATCCCTTACTTACGATCTGATACTTATCACAATACTTGCATGTGCTATCCAAAGTGCAAGGCTATCCAAAGTGTCAATTTGGTAGTGTTTTCTTTAGGGGTGCAACAAAGTTTTTATTTTTGGGAAATCATAAGGTCACTGTAGCCATATTAGCAAAAAGAACCAACAAAGCCATTTCAATCATGTTTTCAATCCCATCTTGGACAAGAAGTTTAAAAAAAGGGCATAGCTCGTACAATATTCATGATATGGGGAAATTGACTTACATTTGTTTGTTTGTTTGTTTATTTGTTCTTTAACACTGCACTCAGCAATCTTTCAGCTATATGACGGAGGTCTGTAATATAATGGAGTCTGAACCAGACAGTCCAGTGATTGACATCATGAGCATCGATCCACACAATTGAGATCGATGACATGCATCAACCAAGGCAGCGAGCCTGACCACCCGATCCTGTTAGTCACCTCTTATGACAAGCATAGTCGCCTTTTATGGCAAGCATGGGTTGCTGAAGACCTATTCTACCCGGATCTTAACGGGTCTTGACTTTTGTATTCAAGTATGTTATCGTGTATAGCTATACAAGCCTGTATGTATCGTATCAAAGTCCACATGTTGCCATGCACCTTAAAAGAACTGTCCTGCCTTTAAGGTCTTTTTTCATTAATATTTGTACAGTGTTGGAATATAGTTATAGTTAGAATATAAAAATCGCAGTAGATCATGTGGATATTTGCAATTAAGAATGAAAAACAAGTGACAGGAATGTGTTGTCTATTTGGAGTGCTACTGGTGCCATCTGCCAGTATGTCTGGTTATATCTGTTTTTGTCTGGTTTTCATCAAAAGTGTCATCTGAGTGAGGCCAGAAGTTTACTCGACTGGATTCTGTATAATGTGACCTAGTTTCTCTGTATCAGTTAAATACACCATGTTACTCAGGCATCTATTGTGAATTGTGGCAATATAAGTAAGTTACAAGGGATTCCATGATTTGATTGGCTAACCAAGCTATGTTTCTGTTCGTTTCCATAAACGTTTCCATAAACCTGAACTATTTAGTCTACGTTCACTGGTAGGCTACTTCTATAGACCATGGTAACTGTGTGGAATTATTGTCCTCAGCGAGGTAACTGCATGCATATCCTCATACATTTTTATGTTTATGATTAGATAAGTTATCATTTTGTCGACAAACTTGGACATGACTTTTTTCTTTCCTTTTTGACCTGTGAAGATTGCGGGTTAGAATAGGTCTTCAGCAACCCATGCTTGCCGTAAAAGGCGACTATGCTTGCCATAAAAGGCGACTAAGGGGATCGGATGGTCAGGCTCGCTGACTTGGTTGATGCATGTCATCGATCCCAATTGCTGGATCGATGCTCATGATATTAATCACTGGATTGTCTGGTCCAGACTCGATTATTTACAGACCGCCGTCATATAGCTGTAATTTTGCAGAGTGCAGCATTATACAACAAACCAACCAACCAATCTTTCCTTCTTACGGATTTGGATAGTGAAGTGATCAGAAGGTCAGAAAAAAATGCATTGTACAGAATTTTGCTTGATTTGGGTCCTAAATAATATTGATCTAAAATCTTCAGTTGTCATTTTTATTGTCAAAGCAATTTTCCATCAGTTGTATGATAACACCTTGTCATCTGATAGTTTGTTTATATTTTTATGGTCGGTGGATCCAAAAGCAAAACAACATGAATTGACCTCCATAACTCACATTTTCAGTTTGCTCGTCCTTATGATAACATATAGCAAAACCCTTGATCTGTTGATACCTACCTTTTGGGCAGTTTGGCAAGGACTACAGGACCAGTGCTAATTTCTAACGCTGTGTAAGGCTTTATTTCTTAGAATTGACTTCCATATTTTAATGGGGTTTGTGGAAGTATGAACATAACAGATATTTAAGTCGGATCTACACGTTCATAACCATGATACATACCCTTGTGTTCAAGAAGACACTCGTGCTGGACGTGCTGTTTCCTTAACAACTAAAATCTTTTAGATTAAGAGGGGGAATACTTTGGATGGTTTGTTGCTCGGCTCATGTCTTGATGTGATCGGAAGCACGGGTGGCCCAGTCGTCTAAGGCATAGCGTTTCACTGTGCAGAGTTGCGTCCATTTGGCCCGCCAGAAAGCTATGATTGTGGGTTCAAATCCTGGTTTGCCCCGACTATGTGTCTTGTCAGCACCATAACCGTGCTCGTGGGTTTCACCGAGGTGGTAAACGTCTGAAACCTGCATCACTTCTGTCTTTCCTCTCACATCAAGCTGACACGCCGCGATATAACTGGAATGCTGTTAAAATCGGTGTTAACATGGTTAAACCCAACTCATTCACAGCTTTAAATAGACCAAGATACGTTCGAATTGTCTATCAGTACATAAGTTTTGTTATATTTTATAAATCTTTTTTTTTATTCAATATTGATTACTTGAATTGTGGCGAAATCATGTGTGAACTTATCGACGGATCGCACCGGCACACTGTTATTTACAGCAACTGGCAAATTTCTTGTTGAAAGCGAAATAATGAACAAGTTATGTTACGTGACAATCTATCACTGATTTAATGAGGAGAGTAATATTCGTGCAGTTGTTCATTCCTTAAAGATTTCTTTATGAGTCATTATCACAACCTGTCACAAAGCGAAGAAAAATTTGATATTTCCAGGTCGTGTGTTGTAAGGACATTCACTATACAAACTTTATTTCCTTGTCATAGACAGAGATGTTTAACTCGACAGATACTGATTAGTATTCAAGAGATGACAACTTTCGATTCAGTGAATATGTGAGAATGTTATGTCCCTTCTATGTCCCTCCTATTGACCAATCAGATTCTACCTCTTATATAACTTGCATTTGCAGGGGTAGAAACTAACATATTTAGTCCACTAGTCCTTATAATGATAACATATAGCAAAACCCTAAAAAATGGCAAATTTTTACTGGTCCTTATGATACCTTAACTATTGGGCAGTTTGGCAAGGACTACAGGACTAGTGCCAATTTCTAACGCTGATTTGCTTCAAACAAAATGGTGGTGTCCAGTGAAGACGATCTGATCGATAATCAAGATTTATATTGTAATACAACCTGCTTGCAAAGTGCAACAAATCACGTGAGCACCTTGATCAAGAACATGAAAAGATTTGGACAATTTCTGTTGACAGTAGTTGATGGTACACATGCTTCACAAATCCTGCAATCAATCGAAATCTGCATTACGCGATTTTGACTGAACTATCGGGACTACTACATTGTGCTGTGGACAAGTAAAAATACAGTGATGATTATAATTCTGAACCAGTTCGAATTGCTTTAATTTTGCAGGGAAATCTCCGCAGAAAAATTGTGTTTTTTTAAAACAATAGTCCTCGGGTGGAAAAATCATCTTCCACGTAAAAATATAATCAAAGATTTTTAAAAATACTCTGAAAATATGATCGTGTTTCCAGACAACCGTCACGGATTTGTCCAAATTTTAGTTTTCAACCAGAAATGATATGGGCTTGTCCAAACTGCACAAAATTGCTTAATCGAATCCAAACTGCACAAAATTGCTTAATCGAACGTTTAAAAACCTCTCTCTCTCTCTCTCTCTCTCTCTCTCTCTCTCTCTCTCTCTCTCTCTCTCTCTGACAGAACATGTAATGATGATAATGAATACATATAGCAAAACACTTCATAATGGCCAATTTCTACTGGTCCTTACAATACCTTAATTATTGGGCAGTTTGGCAAGGACTACAGGACTAGTGCCTATTTTCAACGCTGTTAACATGTTTGTCAAACAGGACCACCAACACTTTGCACCAGTGAAATGCGGTTTACTGATGTCCTCTGGACTAGTCGTGAAATAAAACAAATTTCTGAGGTTGGCAACTATTGGCAATCCTGATGATTCTGCACCATGGATAAGAGATGTTAACCTCTCACTCTGAATTTCAGAAAGCCACATGGTGAAAACAGAAAATTAATTTGATCTGTTTAGTTGCACCAGCTTGTGTATCAATTAGCTTGATAGTCTTGTGTCTCATTCCGAACTTAATGAACTGCCACAGAGCTCAGTTGAGCGTAAATAGTTGTCAAATGTGCTTGTTATTATTTCAGTAGTGTCTATTGTAAGCAAATTCTGTTGCATGCTAAATGTCAACATGTTCCTAGCCATTCTCCTCCTCTAGGGACTGAGTACAGTCCTCGCCACTTGAAATAGAATCACATGATATCACCATTATTTTTTTCTACGAAGATAGCTGCATGTGTGTTAATACTTGTGAAGTGAAAACGAGCCATTCCGCTGATAAGCATGATAAGCATGGGGCGTTAGGTTAAACCCAATTTCACCTCACCTATTGAATTATCAACTCACAAAAAAACTACAATATATAAAAATTGTGACATCATTCTGCCCAGTAATGCATCCTGAGCCCTTGTGTTCAGCCGACCGGAAAGCATTAGTGAGTGTGGACTATTTAGGGGTTTCTGGAAACATAAACACACCAAAAGTTGCTTTAGAAGCCAATCATATGCCATGGAATCACTTGCAATACAGTTAGTTTGTTTGTTGTTTTACGCCACACTCAGCAATATTGGCAGTCTGTTGTAAGTAATTGATCCACCCAATTGGGATACAATGACATGCATCAACAGGATATGAAACTCCCAAAAATTTCAGCCAGACCACAGGACTGGCTAGCTGAAATACTTGCCAGCCCTGACCAAAACCTGCCTGCCCACTATAATCATATGTTTCTCAGGATAAGCTAACGGGGTTTCTTTTTGGTTACATTTTATCATTCATCTTTACATGTGAATTAATGATTATCATCGGGAAATATTTAGAATATTGTCACATATGAAATATAACCCGACCGTCGGGCAGGGGGATTTGAAAATCTGGCAGCCCGAGTTGAAATCAACCCGTCTCGGACGGTCGGGCAGGCAGGTATTTCGAACACTGGCATCAACTAAGTCGTCGAGCCTGACCTCCTGATCCCATTAGTGGCCTCTAACGAGTAGAATGGGTTGCTGCAGGTTGTTCATGAAGTGTTGTACTGTTGTATTATTGTATTATTGTACTGATGCCTGTCCCCCTTGATCAGGTGAGCTCGATGGAGCTGGTCCAGGAGATCCACCAGGTGTTGATGGACCGCGAGGACACATGTCACCGCACGTGCTTCTCCATACAGCTCGACGGACTCACCCTCGACAACTTTGCCGAACTGAAGAGTATCGAGGGTCTTAAAGAAGGTTCACAGATCAAAGTTATTGAAGGTATGTCGCACAATTCCAGAATCAGGATAATCCAGGTTACCATGGTTACAAATATCTTTGTGGAGTGAACATAGTCTGTGGGACACCAGGCCATTGATTGTTACCATGGCAACAGTTCCCTCTCCCAGAACTGATCATAGACAGGAAACTTCATAAATATTAATTAAAAGATGTTTTTCTTAACAAACCATGCTCTTGGACAAAACCTGATTATTTTAAGACTTTATCATATAGTATTTTTGATAACTTTTCTATGAAATAAATAAATAATTAATCCTTGTGATGAAATCTCTGTAAATGCTTGTGGGTGGGGGTTGGATCTGTGTTGAACTTACTTTTCAGACGAACACCAGCTGAACAAATGATGATGAATAAGGTTTTGAGAACTGTCAACACAAGCTCGGACGGCAGGGGACAGCGACCGACACCTGATCCGCTGTGCTAATCCTGATCATCTTGTCTCCGCTGTGCTAATCCCGATCATCTTGTCTCCCCAGAGCCGTACACAGTGCGAGAGGCCAGAATCCATGTGCGTCATGTCAGGGATCTGCTCAAGTCAGTCGACCCGGGGGATGCCTACAACGGCTTTGACTGCAACTCTCTCTCCTTCCTCAACGTCGTCACAGCAGGAGACATCCTAGGTGGGTGGGACGTTTTGGCAACTTTGTGGAAACATTTTCTGAATATTGTGGCTGAGAAATAGGACATTTGTAACTTGTCCAGACTGAAGGATTAACTAGCTACAGCAGCCTTCAAAATGCATGCTAGTTCACCACTATTTAATTAAGCTGTGGACTAGTAAGAATCCAATCCTCATGCACTAGCAGCATTTTGAGGCTTTTAAGGCCAGACACTGCACCTTACAATTGACAAAATGCTTCACAAGTATTTGTTAGTTTTAATTGGTTACAACTTTGAGGTATACATATTAACAATTGAAATGGAGTCTTTTCCAGGTGATGTTGCCACCGGTTGCCATGGAAACATCCAAGATGGCCGCCGCAAGCCTGAAAAAGATTGAAATTAGTTTCAGTTTTTCTCTAAGACCAATAAAGATATTTATATAATTTCAATTGTATAACAAAGCTTGTATGGTGTTGGGTACAATGACAGAGAGAAAAATTGAAAAAAGACTGGTATATATTTTGAAAATAATTTTTCAAAATTTCACATTTTTTAGGTTGATTTTTACCCATAATTTATTTTTTAAAATCGAAATGGCAAACAAATTTTAAAAAGTCTCTCTGTTATTGTGTAAAGTAATCCTCTGCCTATATGTACACCAAATTTCATTCAAATCGGGCCAATAATGGTTGAGATCTATGTTCACTAAGATCCAAAATGACGTTAATGGAGAAAATGAGGAAATAAGTTTGTATATGGTTTTCTTCCTTCAGCACCTATTAAACACTTACAAAATCTTAGTTTACTGATGGGATGTATTCAAGATACATAAAACAATGCATGTACAAAGAAATAACAGGACTTAAAACTCCCCAGCACCATACAACAAGCCTTCAGCTGCCTCAACATGAACTCGGTCCCTTTTTTTAGCCTCCCACTTTGCACTACGTTCTATCTTAGATGTCTCCTGGCTTTGCTTCCTTGCTTTGAGGGTTCTCACATTATCAAGTCTTTCAATAGAAGCTGCTGTTATTTCATTAGCTTCTATTGCAAGCTTGTTAATTACCTGAGTAATGTGACATGTACCCTCATTGAACGAAGCTATTGCAGACGCCACTGCCCGATGCAACCGCCTTGCACCCACAAAGACGGTCTTCGGACAACGGGACTAGATCACGGAATGCAAGCATTCATTAGCATTCTGTGTCTTGCCTTTCACCATCCTCTTAAGGAGGTTTTCATCAGACATTCTTTGATACACAGGTACCATCTTTTCTGCAATTTCTGCATCGAGACAATGTCTGATGTTGACAAAACTTCCTTAGTATTTTCAACAACAACCTGTGAAAGAATGTTTTGTTTTTGTTGAAATGTCTTAGGATGGAGACCTTCCATTCCAAAACCCAGACAAAACATTTTCATTGCAGCATGACCAAGTCCTACCTCTGACAGAGCATAAAAATGTCATTGACCTGAAAGGGATTGGTACCAGATTGATTACCTTACCTTTGTGAAGTGTAATTTTTGGCAACACACATCTGACAGTTTTGACATGTCAACATAACGTTTACAGCAAATCCAAATCTATCAAAATTGTCACTCTTTTCAAACAACAAAGACCCCTGTTCGTGACATGATAGGCATTCAATCTCTTGAAAAAATAAATTCATTTGTCTCATGTCAATTAACATCCATTGAGGTTTTGGTTCATCACTGTCAAGCACGGGAGATTTGATATTTTCAGCAGCTTTAAATTTTGATAGTTTTATGTCGCTGCGTGAAGTTGCATTCAATAAAAAAGAATTCTCACCTTCATTGTCTCCAACGGGGATGTTTTCCCCAACGGCGTGGTCCCCGGATGATTCCGATGCATCTAAAACGTCCAAGCTGTCAGAATCTGACACAGGGATGATCGCGCTGTCAACACGGGTCGTAACTCTAACACCGCATTTCGAACGTGCCTGCTTCAACTGACTTGCCCTTCGCCTCCTATTCTAACATAGGCGTGTTGTGACCCGTGTTTTGACCTCATTTTAAAAAAATACAACAATTTTCAGTTAAGAAAATATCAAAAACGATGTTTGCCTGTCAATCTTTTCGCAAAACAGCCGCCATTTTGTATACCTACCGGAAAAGACCGGTGTTTTGTTGCTAAGCCGAATGGTGCATTGTGGGATACGTTTTACTTTATTTGGATCGAACGAATATTCCCGAATGTTGCATTACGGGATATTTCTCCTTAAATGGTAATTTACGTACGAATGTCTCGCGGGAAAAACCGACGATAGCCTCACGTGGAATATCTATTTTTAGAATGTTTTTGCACAGAAAGATGGCGGAAACGATCAGCTTTCTATCGATGTATAACATGAAGGGGTTCGTTACAGCTGCGGGGGCGTTGTCATGGGTGAAAGTTCAGGTTTTTCCACATTGATTACGATCATATTTAAAAACAATACCACACATTATGATTTTAATAACGTTTTTTATTCAGTAAATGTACACAATATCGTAAAAAACATGTTGCATCACAAAGTACATGTATTATATATGCGAAAAAAATCAAAATCTCGATTTTGACATATTGAAGCAATTATGTTAATTTAAGGTGCCGTGTCTGGCCTTAATCCTGAACCCGTACTCAAAGCTTCAATTTTTGCTACAATCTGGAACTGAATATAACCGATAGAACGTGCAAGCTCTGCAAGTCTTTGTCCAGTTTAGTTTCATGAGGGCTGATGAAATAGTATTCTTGAGACTTAAATTCACCTTTACAGGTCTAGAGTGAAACTACTGACGTCCACTAACACCATGGCACTCGACCTTATGTCAACAACTGTATCTTTGTCTTTGTAACTTAAGTTTTGCCTGAACAGTCTGTATATGTAGCATGAAAACATGACAGTTTAGTTAAGATCCGGGGTAGAATAGGCGACTAACAGGATCAGGTGGTCAGGCTCGCTGACTTGTTTGATGCATGTCATCTTATCCCAATTGTGTGGATCGATGCTCATGATGTCAATCACTGATTGTCTGGTTCAGATGTCGTTAAACAACAAACTAACAAACAGCATTCTAACTCTCATGCTTCACTCTGAGAGTGTGTGTTGGAATCCCTGATGTGGCGGTGGGGTAGCCTTGTGGTTAAAGCGTTTGCTCGTCACGCCAAAGATCCGGGTTTGATGCCCCAAATAGGTACAATGTGTTAAGCCCATTTCTGGTGTGCCCTGCCATGAAATTGCTTGAATATTGCTAAAAGCAGCGTAAAACCTCACTCACTCACTCACTCACTCACTCACTCACTCACTCGAATCCTGTATGGGACTCAACCCCAAAAGTACTAGAATTTGTACTTTACTTTGGAAGTGTTATCCCAAAATAACATTTGTTACATTTGACCACTTTCAAAATGGCATTGTGTCCTCATGAGTAGATACTACTTTCAGCATGACAAGTCTTGTGCAGTGTTGTGTGAGTCAGTGATGAAAGCCCCTCTGTTGGATTTGTTGAGCGTCAGCTGTGTAGGAGAGATTATTACCCATACATTGCCATAAGATGAAATTACAGATAAATAGAGAATTGCTGTTTTTCAAATGAAGGGTGACATCTGTTCACATGATGGCGTTATCTGGAACAGTTGTGGGCTTGATTGTTCCCAAGTAATTATTAATTCCAGATAGTTTTACAGAACTCAGCATGTTTCTACTGGGTTGTTAACTCTGATATTGCATTGAACACAGTTTCAGCGTGTGTGTACTGGGTTGTTAATGCAGATATTGCATTGAACACAGTTTCAGCGTGTATGTACTGGGTTGTTAATGCAGATATTGCATTGAACACAGTTTCAGCGTGTATGTACTGGGTTGTTAATGCAGATATTGCATTGAACACAGTTTCAGCGTGTATGTACTGGGTTGTTAATGCAGATATTGCATTGAACACAGTTTCAGCGTGTATGTACTGGGTTGTTAATGCAGATATTGCATTGAACACAGTTTCAGCATGTATGTACTGGGTTGTTAATGCAGATATTGCATTGAACACAGTTTCAGCGTGTATGTACTGGGTTGTTAACGCGGATATTGCATTGAACACAGTTTCAGCGTGTATGTACTGGGTTGTTAACGCAGATATTGCATTGAACACAGTTTCAGCGTGTATGTACTGGGTTGTTAGCTCGGATATTGCATTGAACACAGTTTCAGCGTGTATGTACTGGGTTGTTAACTCTGATATTGCATTGAACACAGTTTCAGCATGTATGTACTGGGTTGTTAACTCTGATATTGCATTGAACACAGTTTCAGCTTGTTTGTACTGGGTTGTTAACTCTGATATTGCATTGAACACAGTTTCAGCATGTATGTACTGGGTTGTTAACTCAGATATTGCATTGAACACAGTTTCAGCATGTATGTACTGGGTTGTTAACTCTGATATTGCATTGAACACAGTTTCAGCTTGTTTGTACTGGGTTGTTAACTCTGATATTGCATTGAACACAGTTTCAGCATGTATGTACTGGGTTGTTAACTCTGATATTGCATTGAACACAGTTTCAGCTTGTTTGTACTGGGTTGTTAACTCTGATATTGCATTGAACACAGTTTCAGCATGTATGTACTGGGTTGTTAACTCAGATATTGCATTGAACACAGTTTCAGCGTGTATGTACTGGGTTGTTAACTCTGATATTACATTGAACACAGTTTCAGCTTGTTTGTACTGGGTTGTTAACTCTGATATTACATTGAACACAGTTTCAGCGTGTATGTACTGGGTTGTTAACGCAGATATTGCATTGAACACAGTTTCAGCATGTATGTACTGGGTTGTTAACTCTGATATTGCATTGAACACAGTTTCAGCATGTATGTACTGGGTTGTTAATGCAGATATTGCATTGAACACAGTTTCAGCTTGTTTGTACTGGGTTGTTAACGCAGATATTGCATTGAACACAGTTTCAGCATGTATGTACTGGGTTGTTAACTCTGATATTGCATTGAACACAGTT